GGAGAGCACCATCTGATTAGAGATTCTCTTCATTTTAATTTTTTTAATAAATTTTTTGATTATTTTTGTTTTTTAAAAAACACATTAAACATGATTTATAAAACAAAACATGATTTATGAAATTAAACATGAAACACAATTTAAGCTTGGATTAAATCTGGGTTGGGTTTGAGTAGAGATAAACTAAGTTTTTAACTAAGATCAACTCAAATTTGAGTTTAAACATGATATGGGGTCAATTGGACTGTACCTAGGTTAGACTTGGGTTGGACCTCAATTGATTGGAGTTAAACATTTTTTGACCTAATTTAACTTGGTTTGGACCTAGGATGGACTTAATTCAGACCTAGCTTGCTTTAGGTTGGACTGGAGTCAGACTCGTATTGACCTAGGTTGACTTGAGTAGGACTTGGGCTAGGACAAGGTTGGAGATGGATGAGGCCTTGGTTGGACTTGGGTTAGCCATGGGTTGGTTTGGGTTGACATGGGAAGGACATGTGTTAGAGCTGGGTTGACCCGGATAAGATTAAGTTTGACTTGGGTGGGACCTGGGTGAACCTGGCATGACCTTGGCAAACCTGAGTTGACCTAGGTTAACCTTGATTGATCTTGGTTGGATTGCAATTGAACTTGTGTTGAACCTAGATTGACATAGATTGGATCCGGGTGGACCTGGATTGGGCCTCAGGTTAACCTTGGTTAAACCTACTTTGGATCGGGGTTGGACCATAGTTGGACCATGGTTGGACCTCAGTTGACCATGGTTTAACCTTAGTTTGACCTTGATTTTACCTGTCAAACCTTGGATGGACCTAGGATGACCTTAGTTAACCTAGGATTGACCTGTGTCAAACCTAAATTGACCTAGGTTGGATCAGGGTGGGACCTCGTTTGACATGGGATGGACCTCGGTTGATCTGGGTTTACTTGGGTTGGGCCTTGTTTGAACATGGTTGGCCTGAGTTGACCTAGGTTGGACATGGGCTGACCTAAAACTTCAGTTAAGTTAGTTTGGGTTAATTCAAGTTAGGGTCAGGTTGAGGTCAATTTCAGTTGGAATCAAGTCAACTATGATTTTTGTTAGGGTTAGGTTGCGTTTAGGTCTACCCGGGTCTGACCCAATCCCAAGCCTAATTTAAGGTTATTGATTTTTGTTAACTTAAACCTAAATTAACTTAAAAGTAAGAACTAGACAATATGAAATAGAGTCTGAGAAGGCTTACCAAAGAGCATGCAGGCTATGCTGGTTTGTCGATGGTTTGCCAGAGGAGGAGACTCTTCTTCTTTCTATGTGAGCTCCTCTACTCTGAAGGTTGGTCATGTCCCTGTGCTCTGTCGAGTGGGCAATTTATAAGTGGAGGTGGCGATGATAGAGGCCTCTATAGTCGCCGATTAAGGTGATGAGTCGATGACATGGATTATTCTGGTAATTGAAGAGCACACGGATCGTTGTAAGCGAGCCGATGCAACATTTCATTGTCAGATCTGAGGAAAAAGGCTACGGATCACTAGTGTGGCTCGATGCATGGCCACGCCAGCATCAACCATAATCACGTCAAGAAAATTTTTGAAATTGCTATGCCTGAACAGGGTGTGGATATGCTTGAACAGAACGTGGCTCACCAAAACTGGGCGTGACCTTGCCGCATACTCACTAATCCATGGAGGACTTCATGAGTGTAGGTTAATTCTAACATGAGTTGGTTGACCAAAAATGAGGTCAACAAGCGTCTCTTAGAGAGCTTGGGAGATCTTATGATAGTTTTTGAAGAATTCTTGAGAGAGTTCTTAAGAGGAAAGTCTTCTTCTCTGGTTCTGTTTTCCTTGCTTCACTTTTTTTATTCCTCATATTCTTCTTACACTTCATATCTTTTTGAAGCAAGAGTAAGAGAGTGGATTTCTTGTGGAGATTCTTTGAAGAGGAAGCACTTCATCTCCATCATAGCACTTAAGGATATTGGACAAGAAAATAGTGCATCATCAACCATATCCAAGGGTAAATATTCTTTAAAATCTGATTTTTCTTTTATATTATCAAGCTTTGTAGGTTGTGTGTTAAGAAAATAGGTTTTGGTTGATGTTAGAGAAAGCGTGTAGGATAGGAAGCCATTTTCTTGTAATTCCTTCATTTGTTGAGAGTTTTATCCAATCCTCTACCTCCTTAACCTATATTTATGACAAGATTATACTAATCTTGTTGTTTGTCATGGTGGCTTCATTTGGTTGGACAGTTTAAGCTATCAAGTCTAGAGAATGAATAAATGCCCATTGACCTTCAATTGCTAGGTTTGTTTATTTGATGGAAATGGAAGTTTATTCAATTCCACCAGGGAATTTTGATTTGATTTGGAGGCTTTGTTTGTTTTGTTTTGTTTTTTTTTTGTATGTTGCTTGTTTTGTGTTATTTTATGTTGTTTCTTATAATGAAAGGAGACGCACAACAAATTTTCAAAGAGAAGAATCTTAAATCCATGTAAAGACACTCATATATGATAAATTGAATGGAGGGAGAGTAGTGCATACCTTGCATGCTTGATTAGAGTTGCAAGAAGAGTTGATGGAAGGCCCATGAACTTGGTGAAGAGAGGATGGGGAATAGGATTGAGAAGATGTTTGGACAAAAGAGAAAGTGTGGGAAAGAAGAGAAAGTGGGGGAAAGAAGAGAAAGGTTTGGGATATAAATGAAGAAGAGGTAGAGGCAGTAGTTTGGATGGTTACACATGGAGTGGTTACACATGGAGAGAAGGAAATTTAAAAATAAATAAATAAATAATTTTAGAGGAAGAAAAGGAGGTGGAATTTGCCAAAGGTAATAAAGGAAGAATGATAAGGTTTAGACTTTGATCGAGATGCAACGAAAATTTAACTAAGGAAGAGGAAGAAAAACTAAATGAAATGGGATAAGCTACATTATGTAATTACATCATTACTGGTGTAACAAGGTCGACATTGTTGTTTCCATGCCAGATTGTGGCATCGCTACACCACTCTAGATATTTTACAATTTCAATTACTATTGGGCTTCTTCAAGCCCTAGAACCTTGCTTTGTACGGAGCACCCACACAAGGAAGGAATAAGGAATGTTTTGGGCAAGTGAAGGTTGACCAAATGTGAGATCAACAAGTGGTGGCACAGTAAATCTCCCTAAAATTTATTGAATGCTTTTCTTTTCATAGAAGTTGTCTAGTAAATATGGAATTACAAGTTCTTAAGGATTTCATATAAATATCCAAGCCTTATATTAAAGGAGAGAGTCCTTTCGTTAGTATTTTCTTAGGCTATTTTGAGAGCATTAGGTTAAATTCCTTAGTGTTGAAGAGTTTAAATGGGAGGAAATCATAGTGGTTTTCAAGATCTCATCAAAAGCACCACTATCCTTTTATAAGGATCATGAAGCCTTTATCAAGTGGATTCCAGGTTCCAAGAAGGTAGTGTTGGTGTGTTTATAATTTTAGAACACGAACTTGATTACAACCAACAAAATTTTTAAATAACTAAAACTATATCATCAAATTCTCCAAGAACACCTTTTTAGATCTCTAATTTTTAACCTTGCTAATATTTAATAAATTGGCCTCCTTATGAAGAAGAATTGAGTGCCATGTTTTTTTTTCAAAATTGTTAACAAATGTTTGGCTTTAAAATACTAAACAAAGAGATTCACCTCATACAAGAATTCAAAGCCAATTGAAATATTTCTCTCAAAAAATAAGATCCAACAATTATAAAATGATTTAAATGCTCCATTAAAAAACAACCATTCAAAACTTCCTCTTAAATCATGATCCAAAATAGACTTAGAGAAAATTTCTCGAATCAAGAAATCTTCAATACAGTGCAGCCATGCTGCTACAAAAAAATTTTGGAAGTTGTAAATTGTCCTCAATGCTCTTGAATATTATTTCAATATCACCACTTAAGTTGATAATTCCAATCCCAATCAAGTACTACAAAAATCTTTATTTAAACAATTTTTTTCTGATCCTAAGCATCGTTTAATAATGAGAAAAAGCAGAAGCTAGATCACCAAATACCAAGTAGAAATTATAAGCTTCTAGCAACTAAACTTTTTTGGCCAACAATATGAGAATGACAGGCTCACATCAGGGTCGACAACATTGTTTTTTAGCTAATAGTATGAGCAGATTTTATGTAATCTAATGACTATACATGGTTAGAGTTATTTTAGAATACTACAGAAAACAATTTCCTTCACAATTTTCTGTAGTATGAGAGAAACATTTTTGAGTAAATATGTATACAGAAACAAAACAATGAACAATGTATACAATATCTAAAATATCTAAAGTATAGTTTTTGAGTAAATATTTGTTCAACAATTTCCTTGATATTTTTTATTATTAATTTAACAACATGCTTTTAAAAAAAATTCAAAACAGTTCTTTTATGTTGACTATTTTTAAAGACAATTAAATATATTTCAATATAGCTAAATTTCAAATCAAAATATAAGCAAAACGAAATAATAATAAAAACAAAAAAATAGAAGGTATAAAAAAAGTTTTCAACAATTGCTCGAACATTTTTTGCTAGCGGCAGTAACAATTAAAAAATAAAGAAAAAAGAACAGTCGCCATCTTTTTTAGCTAATCTAAGGAAATAGTTCAACAATGCAGCCCCCGTGACAACAACAAATCCTCGGTATCTAAAGGCTCCAATTAGATGCCGAGAAACAGAAAAAAAATTACGTGATGGTGATATTTGGTGATATTGTGATAAAATATCATCACAATACCCAAAAAATCACCATGTGAGGTTTCCACACATAATATTCACTCAAGATAAAAAAAAAAGAACAACAAAACACACCCAACTAATGTTCAGACTATTTTCAAATTACAAAGCTAACAAAACAGCAACTTCATTTGCAGTAATATCACGCAATCTCCAATAGAACAGATATAATTCAAATATTTTATTTTTTATTGAATTCTCAATGATTGTACACGAGTTTACTAGCTTTTCCTTTTTTTTTTTTTGTTAAAGGGAATTTTCAAGTGATCATTTTCCCAAAGACAAAGATTCATAATCAGGGCACGCATTGCCTTGGTTTTTTTAATCCATATTACATTCAATTTTAACACCGTCTCACTCTCAATAAAAATCTTGCAATTTGTACTATGGATCAAATCTTCGCACATATTTTTCAGCCTTGTATTTAACTAATGGATTTTTTATGTCTTCTTGGCTCTGAACTAGTCGAATCTCGAGGCTACTTGACCGAGGATCGAATCCAGCTTTTTGGTAGTCAGCAGCTGTTCTTTGCAGCACAGCCTGCAAAGATGTCAAGTAAATTGAGAGTTTTCTGCTCCATCCAATATCAAGGCCACGGCCGGAATAAACACCAAAACCATTTACATCGAAGCAAATGCTAATGCTATCCCTCATAATTAAGTAATTCTTGACTTCTGTGTAACGAAAAACAATAAGCGCATGAAAAGAGAGGCTTTTTTTTTTTGTCTTTATCTTTTATTTTTGAAATGAAAAGCAATAAAGCAATATTTAATAGTAGTAATACCTGCAGACTTGATACTGCAAGCTCTGATGACTTGTCAAGGTCATCTGGGTATTTCTTTAAAAAAATAATATTTAGAGTTAGTTAAAGTGTTTTTTGAAAAAGGAAACAAAAATCATAAGAAAAAATAATAGAAATAGAAAACTTACATTACTCCAGCCAAGTAAAAGAGCCGTCATTAGATCTCCAGTACCCTATAAGAAATTAAATACATCAAATATATCATAAATATACAAATAAATAAATAAATAAATAAAAACTCCGGCAATACTTAAGAATGAAAGAAACCTGAGATTAACCTGGCATTACCGCACTCATTAGAAACCTACTTATGCAGGCAAATTTAGTCAATTGATTGAGAGCTTAAGCTTTCACCCAAGAGGATTTGGATTCAAGGTTTTACATGTATGAAGCATGAGTTTACGAATAAATTTTTTTTTTAAAAGAAAAAAAGAACTTACGAACGGAATGTGGGAAAAGTAATATAACGACCAACAGGATGTAAATAAGAAGTGGGTAATTCCATACAACAGCGTAGCTGCTATAATCCCATATAAACAAGAAAAAAATATTTTATATTGTTGGTGTGTGAGAAGAGAACATGTTGTACCATTTCAACAATCAATTATCCATCACAATTTTCCTTAAGAATCTCAATTTTGCTTTTCTTGCTGCGATGTAAAAGTGATTAATTATTTTCCTGTCCTCCAATTTATGCTTTGACTAATAAGAGTTGGTAAGTTGTTGCTCTACATCCGTCAAATTTTCATAAGTTGATTAGGTTTATAGATAAGACACTAAACGATTTTATGCTCACTTTGGAAGAATTTTAAGATATTATTTGAGATTTTACATGGGCATAAGACCTTTAATTAATTATCCCTCCCAATCATAAAAAAATCTTGTAATTAAGGCTAGTACATTAGAAGCTAATAGCTTAATAGCATTAGTTTATACTAGAATGGGTTAATTTATCACCACTAATTTATAACATATGATGGAGAAATGATGATTAACATGATCAAGATCTCATTATTATATTGTCTTATGTTGTCATAATAATTGTACTTATTTGGTGCGGTGCGTATTAAAAACGCAACAGGACCCAATTGGGTAAACTGTGTTTTAGTAGCTTTTTCAAAAAACTGCATTTTCAAACTGCTAAAATCAGTGTTTTCATACCGTTCTTAGCTAGGTGCAGTGACAGTTTTCTAATTACGGTCTGACTTTTCAAAAAAGAAATTATAATAGCCAACGCAGCTTTTTGAACAACAGATTATTTTTCAACTACTTATCAACTTATTAATAAGCAACAGTTGCCCAAGAAAATCCTTAAATGGAGGAAATAGTCAATACAACCTGATTGAATGATCTTTGACAATAATATTTAATTGTGATTCAAGAGAATCTTGAAGATCTAGAATGGATATTCATCTAAAAGATATTTTTAACTTGACCTTGAAAATAGAGGGTCATGTGTTCTATCAAATGTACCACGAAAATCATAACTCAAAAGATAGAGCTATTGGAGAAAGCATAGGCCATGCCATGATAGCAATATATTCAGGTCATTTTGTAGTAAACTACACGATCAGTGAGCTCCAACCATAATTATAATAAAAAAATAAATAATTAAATAGATAAAATTAAAAATAGAATGGAAAAGCCAAAACAACGGCAATGGTTAATCGTTGTTTTCAGATGCGCTTAATAGAAGAAGAGGGAGTTCGATTCTGCAAGTAGAAGTACAGGGAGTGTAGGAAATAAAGAGATAGAGAAGGAGGAAGAAGATCCGTGAGCATTCTTTGGTAAGAAAAACGATGCTGCAAGCCTCGTTGTGTGAAGAAAAAGAAGAAAGGAGATAATTGGGCATATGCAAGAAGAACTACATGCATGAAGCTTGTAACAACACTCGTGCATGTCTTGTGAAGGAGTAAGAGGCGAGGAGCCACCACCACTGTGGTGTCGCTTGCAGGTGGAGCTATATGTCACATGCATCTAGGGAAAATGATAATTGAGCGACTATGACATGAAGGAGGAAGAAGGGGTGCAAGAGGCTATCGAACCCTAGCCTAGTAGTATGAAGCAGAAAAGCCTCACCAGCACGGTTGAAGCCTTGTTTGTGCAAAGAAGACGAGAGGAGTTGGGGTGAAGCAAATAGAGGCAAGATTAAGCTGATTCTCTAAGTAGAGACAATTTTTGGTGCAGTTGCTTGCAAAGGAAAGAAGCAAAGCCAGTGGTGGTGGAGAAAGAGAAAATATAATGTAGAAGAGGAAGTTCGATTTGGTTTTCGAGACGAGCCGAGCTTCTGAGCTAAAGGAAGGTATACCTAAACTTAAATGGAATTATTAAAGCTTTTTATTTTTTTGAGAAAAATTTTAAAGTTGAATTAATGTTATTAAAAGAAATTTCATGATTAATATTGCTCTTAGTATATTTAAATAATCTTATTAATTATAGTAATTGGCATGTTATGATTTGAGTATTAATTAGTATATATCAAATCAAAGAATAAAACTTTGATATAGGCATAAAATAACCAATTAAATATTGAATTAATCATTGTGAATATTTTCTACAAGTATCAATAAAATAACCAATTAAATATAGAAGAGGAAGTTCGATTTGGTTTTCGAGACGAGCCGAGCTTCTGAGCTAAAGGAAGGTATACCTAAACTTAAATGGAATTATTAAAGCTTTTTATTTTTTTGAGAAAAATTTTAAAGTTGAATTAATGTTATTAAAAGAAATTTCATGATTAATATTGCTCTTAGTATATTTAAATAATCTTATTAATTATAGTAATTGGCATGTTATGATTTGAGTATTAATTAGTATATATCAAATCAAAGAATAAAACTTTGATATAGGCATAAAATAACCAATTAAATATTGAATTAATCATTGTGAATATTTTCTACAAGTATCAATAAAAGAAGGTGAAGTCAGAATAAAAGAGTAAAATTCTAAAAAAAAGTCGTGTAATATTGAAGTGAATACTCTTACTTCTATGTTATAGTAACATTTTTGGCTTCTTCTAAACCAATAGTGTGAAGAGTTATTTATACATGATAAATGCACTTTTTAGAATTTTATTTTAATTATTCTCCTCTTCAATTTTATTGTTGAAATAGATATGAAGGTTTAAATTATTTGATTACACGTTTTATGTATCATCCATATAGAGTAGATACATAATGAAATGAAAATGGGTATGATATGGATTATATACAGTAATTGTATGTACATGTTGACTATGATGAGTTCAATCCATTATAGTACTAGCGAGGAAATGTTAAGATATTTGTACGTAAATGAAAAATGTTATTTATATTAATGTAACCTAATTAGTACAATTTTTATGTGGTACTCCTATTGACAATTTTTTATAGATTAAAATGATATTAATATGTGAATGATATAGGAAGATATAACTAATGTTTATAATCACCTTGAATGATAATAGTGGATAGTCTAAACCAATAAATGTTCTTATATTGATTTACTTCAAGTTTAACTAGAATGCATATTGGTATGAAAATTCACAGGCTTGCTATATCATTTTATTTTATATTAATATTTTCAAGTTGAAATTGTAAAGTAAACATAAGTAATAGAAGGAATACATATATAGATTTGGACAACCTAAACTAAGATAAATTTAAAACTGCTCTAATTTAATTTCTTTTTTATAGTGGCTTTCATTTATTTTTGGATCACCAAATGATGGTGATATAAATATAAATAAAAATTAATTAATTTCATCATCAGAATGTTTATTCCATCTTGGTTAATTTCAAGCTCCATATCAGATCGTGTAAAAAGTATTATCAAAAAATAAATAATTAAATAATTTAATTTTGATAAACATATCAATAAGATAATTACAAAAAAAATTAATAATAATAAAATTGAAAGTATAGGTTAACTTTGATCAAGTAATTAGTTCAAGCATATGGATACACTCAAGATTGTAGAAAAGAAAATTTTGATAGAAAATGAGGAAGTATTGTGTGCTATAATTGTGAACATGGATGCCCTAACATGGTAGGACATAATTGATTCAAGGGTCCAAATCGCAACCTAATGTAACTGATAAAGTCATTTTTTTAGATAAGTATTTAAAGGTATTTCAAGATCTACGTCTACCTTTATTTAAGGGAACTGAAGCTCTGATTGAAGCAGAGAATTGATTGATGTGAAAAAAATACTAGACAACATGACATGTCTATAAGAAAGAAGGGTACCATTATCTACTATTGTGTTTGATGGAGAAGCATAAATGTGATTGTGCGGACAATGTCAAGATAGGCTAAGGTACCTAACCAACATTATGGTAAATTGGGATGATTTTATTGAGATTTTTAGAAAATTGTTTGTGCCTCTAACTGCTCCAAAGGCAAATGGTGGAAAAGTTCATCAGATTGGTGCAATGAGAGAAAATAATCATGCAATATAAAGCATAGTTAGTTGCACTGTCGAGGCATGCACCATAGTTAATAGATACTACAGAAGATAAGTGTTACATGTTTCTTTTGTATTGAACCATTAGATTAACAGCTAATAATTCAATTAGGGATTGATGATTAATCCACATTAGTGGAGAAATCCATAAGATTAGAGATTGATTTTCGGTTACTCAGAAGCGTAGAAATAAGAGCATATTAATCAACCAGAGGGATCTAATGAAAACAAACCCAGTTCAATTCATGTGGATTAAGTAGTAGCACAACTCATAGTACTATAGTCCCTTGTGCCAAATGTGAAGGCAGCATAAGGGTGAATGTTTGATGGGTGGTTCAAATACATGTTATTGGTCTCATCAGCCTAGTCACATAACTAGATATTATTCTTTAATTGGTCAGAATACCTCAGAAAATCAAAATTCAAGTAGAGCCCCTTCTCAAAAGACTACAAGTGGGCAAAGGAGCAAAGAGTCAATAAATTTAGCTCCCAATCAAGGTCAACAAAATTAGTCAGCTCGACCTTGAGTTTATGAGATGAGGGTATGTGATCAGTTGATTGCTCTTGTTAAGAATCAAGATCACTAAGTAGCGATCAAGTGGACTCAATCACCTCCAACGGCCGGGAGACCAAATTTTGGTAGAGCTTAATGGGAAGTGATATGAGTGGGGTAGGGATTATTTCAGATTCTATCCAGAACTTGGAAATCTAACTTCAAGCACCTAGAACT